CCTCTTGTTTTGCCGTGTTCTGTATCTGTATATCTACTTGTTTAAAAATAAATAAAAATAAAGTTTAAAAAAAAAAAAAAAACCCCCATATAAAAAAAAAAAAAACTATAGCAAGAATCCCCTAAACACTCAAAACTACCAATAACCTAGAGGTGCTGAAGCAAAAAGTGTTACAACCAATCTATTATCCACAACATGTACGATAATCCACTTCACATCAACTCCTTAATGTTCTAGTGGCTAGGATTTTGTGCTCTTACTTTTCCACTGTACTTTCACTATGTGGAAGCCACAGGTACACCTCGTCACACCACCAAACAGTGACTGGGCACCAGACTGCTGGTAGGTGTGCTGATTCCACCCGATCCTTATGGAGACTTGGAAAATTAACAGAAGAGGTCTTTAACAATTAATGGAATTTATTCCGGCCACAAGTAGGATATCACAGCGCTGGACTCTCTGGGGAATGTTGTCTCAACGACGCGATCCCACCAAAGAGCCCCGATTAGACGTCAATCATGTACATTTATCTTCTTGGGCTAAGCCCCGCCCCGTACAATGCAAAACTGGTCTTCGCAGCACCGAATTGTAATTGGCCATTTAACTCTAACGTAAACATGCCAGCTTCCTGTTCACGTGATCGTATAGTGTAGTAATTAAGTGTTGTGAAATTGGTTGTTGGTGTGCAGCTAAAAAACATAGGATAAACATGAACTTTAACAGAATCTAAAAATTAATTATTTTACTGCATTGAACATTTCTCAATCTAAAAACAAAGGTTTTATCATGATTGATTTCATTTCATTCAGGCGTGTTATGCCTGTAGTTAAAACTAATTTCAGTATCACAACTTGCATTCTTAGTAATAACTGATAAATAAACCCATACCTGCTGATACAGCTTGTGCCACTTCTTCAGCCTGGGTGCTGGCCTATTTCCCCCCTGGCCATGTCCCCATACTGGCAAATCTTCTGAGGCCTGCCATCCAGACAGTGTCCGGCATTGCCTTGTGTGATGTGGCCAGTCAGGAGTGCGGTGCAATAGTCAAGGCGAGAGATAATGCAGGTGACCAATGGGACGCTCAGATGATGATGTCTGTACAGACTGACACAAATCAAAAACAATGAGATTCAATTCAAGATTAAACATTCCAAATGCTTGATGCTGTGCAACACTTGCAAAATAGGGTCAAAATTAATAAATGCAACCAGTGAGCAATTGTCAAAATTGTAGAGATACAGAAAACCTTCCATTTCACAAATAACCATATTTTTATTATTGAATTAGGGAGCATCCCCAACGTCCTCTTCCACACCAACTGTTACCCCTCCATCAGCTACACTAGCAGAAACTTTAAAGGGTCAGATGTTTATTGAAAATGTACTTATTCCTATTTCTGTGGGGAACTTTCCACAGTGACCTTAACTTTCCTTGGATGAAAAAATATAGTTAGGAGTAGTTTTTTTTTACATAGTTGTCTATATTCTTTAACAGTGCTATTAGTGGTAGTTATAGGATCTCCTGTCTGACATATATTGCATTGGCCGGGAATTGAACCCAGGTCAACTGCTTGGCAAGCAGCTATGCTCTCCACTATAGTTTCTGACCTTCCACCTAGTAAGTGAGGAGGAGCCATCACTTTCTTAGGCATGTCAGATAAAATCTATCTCAGTTTCCAACATGCATATAGATATTCCAAAAACATATCCCGTAAACATATGGAATTATTCACTCTACACTCAGGAACAAGTTGATTTGTCTAAATAAAAGTGGCAACCAAAAACTATGACCATCTTGCTGTGACCTGGATTCAAACCGGGGTTGCTGCGACCCGACCGCAGAGTACTGACCACTATACGATCACAGGATCGTGATGACAGGCATTGGGTGTCGTTCTGTTTCTGGAACCGACATTGATTCTGCCTCTGTCTGAGGACCCCAGAATTGGACCTGGGTTCCGTTTCATCAATTAGGTTTTAAGAAAAACTCTGAGTTTGTTAAATCTGAAATGACAGAAAGTCTGATTTTTCCATTTTTCTCAAAGAGAAGTTGCTCCACCTTTCTCTGTTTTGCCATAGTAACAGTCTCCCCTGAACTAACCTGGTCAGGAGCAGGCTTTCCTCCATAAACTCAAAGTATCTTCTGTCCCTGCCCTGTTTAAAACAATCAAACAATTTCACTTCTTCATTAAGTCAGGAATTGTCTTAAGCATGCAAGACAACAGTCCGTTGAAGACCGGAGTTGTGACAAGCACTTTGTTGGCTAGCATCATGTACTTGAATTTCAATTCAGTGACGTGAGACTTTTTGGGCTGATTGAAGACCAGACGCCGCGTTCTGGATAATTTGTAATGGTTTTACCGTACAGGCTGGAGACCAGTCAGGAGGGTGTTACAATAGTCGAGGCGGGAGATAACCATAGACTGCACAAGGAGCTGGATAGAATGTTGAGTTAGTTATGGCCAGATCTTTCTTATGTTTAATAGTGTGAAGCGACGAGATCGAGAGACAGAGGTAACATGATCTTTAAAAGTCAGCTGGTCATCAATCATGACACCCAAGTTTCTTGCTGCCTTTGATGGAGTCAGAGAAAGGGATACAGTCTGGATGTGAAATATTGTGCTGTATGGTTGGTTTGGCTGGGAAAACAAGCAGTTTAGTTTGAAAGAGATTCAGTTGGATGGTGACCATCCATTTTAATGTGTCAGAGAGACAGTCTGAGATGTGTGCTGAGACCGTGTGATCATCAGGTGGATATGACAGATAAAGTTGTGTATCATCAGCATAACAGTGGTATGGGAAACCATGTCATTGAATGATCTGGCCCAGCGTGGTGGTGTATATGGCGAAAAGAAGAGGTCCCAGTACTGAACCTTGAGGAACCCCGATGATGATGTGGTGTACTGCAGAAATGTGACAAGCCAGAATACTTTGAATGATTGACCAATGAGGTACGATTCAAACCAGGGGTGTGCTCTCCCTGTGATACCCATGTTCGAGAGTATAGAAAGATGGATTTCATGGTTGACTGTGTCAAATGCAGCTGATAAGTCAAGC